CTCTAGCTCCAGCTCCTGGAGGGCCGCTGTCCTGCCTGGACGTTTGTAGTCTGCCTAGTAAGAGCTTAACTAGCTGGTTCAGGTGTGTTTGACTAGGGTTGGAGCTGAACTCTGATGCTCACCGATGGAGTTGCAGCGGTCGACCTGATTGATGGGCAGCTCAGGCTCAGGAAACCTGGAGTCGCGTCTGCAGTTCCTCAGTCTGACGAACAGGCCTTTGTGAGCGGGACAGTGGAAGTGACGTTCACCGAGATAACTGCCATCTGTGGCGGCGGACAACTCCTGATCCTGGTGGGGCGGGAGATAAATACATAACACTACACATTTTATATATATATACACTGCCGGTCAAAAGTTTGGGATCAGAATGATTTTTTATGTTTTTACAGGAGTTTCTTCTGCTCATCAAGGCTGCATTTATTTGATCAAACATACAGGAAAAACTAATATTGTGAAATATTATTCTAATATAAAATAGCTGTTTTCTGTGTGAATATGTGATAAACTGTAATGTATTTCTGTGATGTGCAGCTGTATTTTCAGCATCATTCCTCCAGTCTTCAGTGTCACATGATCTTCAGAAATCAGTATAATATGCTGCTTTATTATCAGTGCTGGAAACTGTTGCTGCTTCATATTGTTTTTTGGAACCTGTGATCCTTTTTCAGGATTCTTTGATGAATAAAAAGTTTAAAAGAAGAGCATCTTTCCTAACAATATACGCTACCGTTCAACAGTTTGGGGTCAGTACATTTTTATTCTTTCTTTTTTTGAAAGAAATTAAAACTTTTATTCAGCGAGGATTTGTTAAATTGTTAAGAAGTGATAGCAAAGATTTATATTTTTAGAAAAGATTTATATTTTGAATAAATGCTGTTCTTTTTAACTTTTTATTCATCAAAGAATCCTGAAAAAGTAATCGCAGTTTCCCAAAAAAAACATATTTGGCAGCACAACATTGATAATTCTAATAATAAAGCAGCATATTATACTGATTTCTGAAGATCATGTGACACTGAAGACTGGAGTAATGATGCTGAAAATACAGCTGCACATCACAGAAATACATTACAGTTTAAAAAATAAACATTTTGCAAGATTACTGTTTTTTTCCTGTATTTTTGATCAAATAAATGCAGCCTTGATGAGCAGAAGAGACTTCTTTAAAAACATTACAAGTCTTACCGTGTAGTGTATATATATATATATATATATATATGATGTATTTATTTGTGCATAAGTGAGAGTTGTTTGTGTACCAGCTCGATTCCAGCAACTGGTTCCGGGATGTTGTTGATTTGTCCAATCCAGCGAATGACTCCGAAAAGGGGCGGGTCGTTCACTTCCACCATGGAACCCACCTCCAACCAGGTGCCAAGCTCCGCCCTCTGCTCAGCGATTGGTGGAGACGGGAGGTTGTGGAATCCGTTGGAGGAGCGGGACTGGTCGGTGGGCGGGGCCTGGGGTTTGATGGGGGGGACCGCGGGAGGCTGCAGGGCTGGTTTGGGTGTCGTGAGCGGAGAAGGAGGTTTCAGAGCGGCTTTCGGGGCGGAGGAGGACGGAGGCTGGAGGGCTTTTCTGGCCGTCAGCAGCATGGATGGCTGGATGAGCGGCCGGTTCAGGGCCTGTGACGGGTCATTGCTGGGCGATGGCGGCTGAAGGGCGGGTTTATTGGGGACGGGCAGCGGTGGCAGTTTAGGACTGGTTACTGCCAGAGGAGACCGTTCAGATCTAGATTCTGTACAACAGAACACATGACACATATATTTAAATATACAGATAGATAGATAGATAGATATAGTCAGATGATAGATAGATAGATATAGTCAGATGATAGATAGATAGATAGATATAGTCAGACGATAAATAGATAGATAGATAGATAGTCAGATGATATATAGATAGATAGACTTATAGATAGATAGATAGATATAAAGTCAGATGATAGATAGATAGATAGATAGTCAGATGACAGATAGATAGACTTATAGCTAGATAGATAGTCAGATGATAGATATATAGTCAGATGATAGATAGATAGATATATAGTCAGATGATAGATAGATAGATAGATAGATATATAGTCAGATGAAAGATAGATATAGACTTATAGATAGATATATAGTCAGATGATAGATATATAGTCAGATGATAGATAGATAGACTTATAGATAGATATATAGTCAGATTATAGATAGATAGATAGATAGATAGACTTATAGATAGATAGATATATAGTCAGATGATAGATAGATAGATATATAGTCAGATGATAAAATAGTCAGATGATAGATAGATAGACTTATAGATAGATAGTTAGATAGATATAGTCAGATGATAAGATAGATAGATAGATAGACTTATAGATAGATAGTCAGATGATAGATAGACAGATAGATAGAGTCAGATGATACATAGATAGATAGATAGTCAGATGATAGATAGATAGATAGATAGTCAGATGATAGATAGATAGATAGATATATAGTCAGATGATAGATAGATAGATAGTCAGATGATAGATAGATAGATATATAGTCAGATGATAGATAGATAGATAAACTTATAGATAGATAGATAGATAGTCAGATGATAGACTTATAGATAGATAGATAGATAGATAGTCAGATGATAGATAGATAGATATATAGTCAGATGATAGATAGATAGATAGTCAGATGATAGATAGATAGATATATAGTCAGATGATAGATAGATAGATAGTCAGATGATAGATAGATAGATATATAGTCAGATGATAGATAGATAGATAGTCAGATGATAGATAGATAGATATATAGTCAGATGATAGATAGATAGATAGTCAGATGATAGATAGATAGATATATAGTCAGATGATAGATAGATAGATAGTCAGATGATAGATAGATAGATATATAGTCAGATGATAGATAGATAGATAGTCAGATGATAGATAGATAGATATATAGTCAGATGATAGATAGATAGATAGTCAGATGATAGATAGATAGATATATAGTCAGATGATAGATAGATAGATAGTCAGATGATAGATAGATAGATATATAGTCAGATGATAGATAGATAGATAGTCAGATGATAGATAGATAGATATATAGTCAGATGATAGATAGATAGATAGTCAGATGATAGATAGATAGATATATAGTCAGATGATAGATAGACTTATAGATAGATAGATAGATAGATAGATAGAGTCAGATGATAGATAGACTTAGATAGATAGATAGATATGTAGTCAGATGATAGATAGATATATAGTCAGATGATAGATCATAGATAGACTTATAGATAGATAGACAGATATATAGTCAGATGATAGATAGATAGATATATAGTCAGATGA